TAAAGAATATGTAGAAAGGGAAAAGCAATTGTTAAGCTTCGATCAAGTAGTGGATCTATTCGAAAATATATCAAAACATATAGATCAAAAGACATAATTATCGTAACAAAATTGTACTCAGTAGACTCTCATGCACTTATAAAGTTTCTAACAGAATTACATCCTTACTACATCGACAAAAGAATGAAAACCAAAAGCATCAAATTAATACGAAAACTTGGCAAACACATAGATTCAATTCCTGCAGTAATGATTTCATTGTCAGAAGAAGATTCCGATTCATCGATAAATAATTCCCCTAAAGAATAATTACATTTAATTCTCTACTTCAATGGAACGATTTTTATCGATTGGAACATATTATCTCTGAAACACACCCATCTATTATCTGTCTACAGGAAACAAATTTCAAAAATTCAAACCATGTATATAACTTTCGTAATTATTCATGTTTCTATAATAACAGATTAAACCAAAACATTGCCAGTGGAGGAGTAGCCATTTATGTCGATGAAAAATTCATCAGCACACAGTTACCAGTGACTTCAAATAATATTGAATTAATAACTATCGCAATAAATATGCCTCCAAAGATTTATATACATATATATATATATATATATATATATATATATATATATATATATATATATATATATATATATATATATATATATATACCACCAAATCAAACTATATCCTAAGAGGATTTAACAAATAGGTATTTTGAAACAAATTTCTTCACCTAGAATTATCGTTGGAGATCTTAACTGCCACAATCCGATAAGGGGTTGATATAGGGGTCATCAGCAATTGATATTTCTCTGTATGACCAGTTCTGTCCACTATGTTAACATAAGACGTTCTACCCTACTTATATGGTAGTGGCTACTACCCCATTATAATTTCTTTAACGCATCAGAAAACCACAAATATCGAATCGCCTATCTCAAAGTGGAATATTAAAAATGCTGATTGGACTAATTTTACCAAAGAGATCGAACAGAACATTAACCAAACCAACTTCACATCATCAAACGACATTTACAAATTTTTAAGTACATTTTTACAAACCATTACAGCAGCCGCAGAGACGTATGTAAGAAAAACAAGAATTTTAAAGAAACATAAACCTCTGCCGTGGTGGACACCTGAATGCAGCAAAGCTACAAGAGTGTATAAGAAAGCTTTCAATAGACTAAAGCATCATAAAACAGACGAAAACATAACAGACTACAAAAAACGAAGAGCTAAGGCAAGATACACTTTAAAAAAGAATAGAAAAGAATCTTGGAAAAAATTCATCTCATCTCTAAATACCTCTTCAAGCATAAGTACAGTTTGGAGAAACTTAAGAAAAATCTTTGGCAAAAACCAACCATATAAGATTCCGTTTCTATCAAAAAATAACAAAATAATTAGTGATAAAAAATAAATCGTAGATATGTTAGCAGACCAACGAAATAAATTCCAGTGATGAAAATTACACTGATAATTTTAAAATACATAAAAACAACATAGAAAAAAACATATTGGGATTTGACGGACATGAGATTCACAAACTTAACGTTCCTTTTTCCTTCATAGAACTTGTTGAAGCCTTAAACTCTTCCAAAGATTCAAGCCCGGGACCAGACGGTATCCCCTTAGAATTTCTACTGCATCTACCAGACAATGGAAAAAATTTATTACTAGACCTGTACAATTTCATCTGGAATAACCAGGTTTTCCCATTAACTTGGTCCGAAGCAATAATACTACCACTTTTAAACCTGAGAAATCCCGGACATCACCTGAGTCATATCGACCAATATCTTTAACTAATATTATATGTAAAGTGTTAGAGAAAATGGTAAGTAAAAGGCTGAGATGGTATTTAGAAAAACAAAAACTCCTTATTCCACAACAAAGCGGATTTAGGCAAAATCGATCCACTATAGATAACCTAATAGACTTAGAGTCAGGAATACATGAAGCATTTGCAAATAAGCAAGATTGTATCGCGGTCTTTTTTGATATTAATAAAACTTATAATACTCTCTGACGATTCAATATCATATCAAAATTACATAATTGGAATATCAGAGGCAATATGTTAAAATTTACTTCAAATTTTCTTCAATCTCGCAGCTTCATAGTTCGATCAGACAACGTTAACTCAGATAAAAAAGTTCAAGAGAACGGAGTACCACAAGGATTAGTTATAAGCTTAACCCTTTTTCTAATAGCCATAAACGACATACTTCAAGGACACTCACCGATTGTTAAAGGAAGATTATACGCTGATGATGTAGTTTTACTTGTCAAAGGAAAAAACTCTACATCTATTCAAAAACATTTACAACAAACAATCAATCAGTTAGAGTCATGGTCTAGTACTATCGGATTACAATTTTCACCAACAAAAACTAAATGTATTTTATTCACAAGAAAATATAACACTCTAACTCCACATCTGCAGCTATATAATCAAAACCTCAGTTTCACAAATAATCAGATTTTTAGGTATGGTTTTCGACCAAAAGCTCTCCTAGAAAAAACATACAGAAGAACTTAAAAAATCATGCCAAGCAGGATTAAATTTTGTGAAAACTATTTCCAGCAAAAACTAGGGAGCAGATCAAAATACACTATTACATGTATATAAATCTTTAGTTAGATCCAAACTCGACTATGGTGCGATTGTTTATTCATCAAGCAATGTATTAGTATTGAAACCCTTAGAAACTGTTCAAAACACAGCTCTACGAATAGCTACAGGTGCGTTTTGAACGACATCAGTTGAAAGTTTGCACTGCTTAACAGGAGAACCACCCCTAAGTTTACGATGCAAATACCTTTCTCTCTCATATGCTTCTAAACTAGCTAGTAAAAAAGAACACCCTACTTATACCAATACGTTCACAGATCAATTCCAAGACATTTTCTCTACAACAAGACTAGATCCACCATTTTACGAAAGAGTTAGTAGAGACCTTCATGTAAGACATCTTGAATTTCCTGAAATTCTCCCAACAAATTTCATAACTTCTCCACCTTGGTTAATACTAATTCCCAAGATTAATGCTAACCTTAGTATATATAAAAAAAAGTGAGACTATAACAGACCTAATTAAACAATCATTCTATAAGGTATACACAGATATACACTTATATAAAAACCACTATAAGATATACACTGACGCATCCAAATCTTGAGACGGTGTTGGTGCAGTCATCCTCACACCCAATACATCCTTTAAATTTAATTTCAATTCCATTACTTCGTCATACACTGCAGAGTTGTTTGCAATATTACAAGCACTTATCCACATAAAAGAGTTAAAACAGTCCCCGTCTCTCATAATAACCGATTCACTAAGCTCACTTCACACTATCAAACGTTTATATACCAATAATCCAATTGCAACATATCCTATCAGAAATAGAAATTCTAAACAATAATAAGATTACTGTTGAATTCATGTTTGTTCCATCACATTCAGGTATACAAGGAAATGAAAAAGCAGATGAACTAGCCCGCTTAGCATTCTTCAGCCAGGACTTCATTCTTATTAATGAGGTTTCTTTAGATGACTTCAAGTCAGAAATGAAATATAAATTGCTAGGTACGTGGAAAAATAAGTGGAGTGCATCACAAAATAAACTCAAGAAAATCAAACAATTAGTAAAACCGTGGCTCCAACCTACAGCGAATAGACCAAGTGAAAATAACACGTTTGCGACTAGAACACAGTAACTTTACACATAAACACCTCTTTACGCGATCTGTACCGCCAATGTGTGAAAATTGTCAAGTAACACTCTCCGTGAAGCATATACTAACCCAGTGCAAGACATATGAAGCAGCAAGAAAGAAGGACACTATCCCAAATAATATAAAGGAAGCCTTAGGAGAAAACATGAACATTAAAAACACAATAAGTTATCTTAAAGACTCAGGACTGTATCAATTATTGTAATTTTTGCTAACTCTACCTGTATTATATTTTTTAGGTCGCTAATAACCCTTGTGGTTACAGCGTAAATAAAAAAAATGATTGGTCCTTTAGTCTCTGTTAAATATTATGTTTATATGGAAGCAAGTGACAATTGAATACCTATAGTTAAATTTATATTGTTAACTAATATTTAACGTTTGATTTCGTTTCATTCCGGAAATTGTTTTCGAAAAAGATTAGTTTTAAATTACGCTAAAATGTATAACTAATAAGTTGTTGAAAAAATCTGAGAGTTGTGTTTTCACCTTTGGAATATCAAATTATTACGGCTTTGTGTATTTTTTGTACATATTATGTAAAGTGTGTTAACGCAGATTGTATGTCTCCGACTTCTTATTAATCTGCCTTTGTTGGTATGCTCTTGTTATTAACTTCTTTTTCGCGACATTTTGATAACGGCTTTGTTACACATATTTGACTATTAATGTATCTTTCCATTGTACTCTGTACTCGTTGTCCCACGCATGTTTGCATATCTGGGATTTGTCAAAGTCTTCATTCTTGATGTTTCATGCTCTTTTATGCTGACCCTTAGTGGTCTTGCTAATTTTCCCACTTAAAAATTGTTGCATTGGCAAGGTATTTTACAGATGCAGTTCTTTGATCTTTCTTGTATTTTATTGGGTTTAGTTTTGGACAGGATAGATCTAAGTGTTTGTTGTTTTGAATATAGTTATGATATTGTACTTGCTTCCTATTATTTTATCTTTTTCTAATATGCCGCTTACATATTGTATTGGTGTCATCTTTAAATCCCTTTTTTATATTTGTTTCTGGACTGCTTGTGGTGTTTTGTTATTTCCTTACTTTAACCTTGTGGAATTATAATGGAGATTACCCATTATCCTGTCTAAACAAAAAATTGCATAAGTAATAAATAGCCAGTTATTATTTACGAGTATTTCGTTATTTTCTGTGATTAGATCTAAGTCTATTGGAAATAAAGATATTATGTATTTTTTATTTATTTATTAACTAAATGTGCTATTTGTTTTTCAGTACGCATTACTACTGCTTGGAATAGTTATCCTGGAAATCACCATAAGTATCATTGCTTACAAATCCAGGAATCACTTAGAAGAAACACTTTCTGAGGATATGTTGTTTAGTATGAATTATTACACATCCGATACTGGGTATATTTGGGATGCAACACAATACTCGGTAAGTATAGTATGTTTTAGACTAAACGAATAACACGATAAAACCGACCCAAGAGAGAACACAATTTTAATTAAGACATTGATTTAATTTCATAATAATGTGATGGTTTTTCATTTTTATTTACAGTGTTTTAATACTAATACTAAAAGCCCAATTAATTTATAACATTTTTTGTATCAAAATTCAAGTGGTTGATTATGAACGACTTTGATTAATTAATCTTTGTCGAAGCAGCGTGTCGTTCGATGTTAAAGAAATATTATAAATTGCAACTTAGGAATTTTATTTTATCTCAGCACAATGTAATTGTACATAGCGCACGTGGTACGAAATGTCAGACTTCGGATTACCAAATATGTGATTCTTCTCAAATCGCGATAGAACGCAAGATGTGATTGTTCAAATAGGGACGGAAAATGTGTTGGTTACTATTAAAGGGAAATTTTATAGGGATTTTCAAACTGGAGGAGATTTTTCGATCTTTATTGGATTTCTAGTGTGTAAATTCAAAAGCAATAAAATGTTTTTTACGATCAACTATTGAAACATTTTAGTGAGAATATAATGATCAAAAATACAGGCGTATGGTTTATGGCTTATAGTTTGGTCAATTTAAAGCTATAAAATATTTAGCCACTGCATATTAAGACCTTTTAGTGAGAATAGAACATGCAGTACATATAGGGTTAATTAATATTATGTTTTCTCTGATTGTGTGAACTTCGATCACAGGCGTGGCAATGGAGGGCGTAATAACAGTGAACTAGTCAAGATCTGTTGCAAGTTTAATGTGAAGGTTGCTTATAAGTAAAATTTAGATATAATCTAGCCAAAAAAGTTTAGGAAATTTTAGGAAAACATTTGAAACGAGAAATCAATGTTACAGATTACGACACTTTAACGTAAACCTGAATTTCTAAGTAAGTATTAATATCTACGACAAAAATAACTACAGATGTAGAGGAATTCAAAAGACTTCTGAAAATTTGGTATAAAAAAATTTAAAGTTATCCACAAAATAATGGGGTAAAAAAAGTGCCTTTTATATTTTGTTATTTCAAAGCTTACTTTATTCGGAAAATTCCAAAAATTACTTTTTGAATATATTTTTTTGTAATATTACTTACAAATAGAAGAGCAAGGAAGCTTTAGAAATTATTTAATTATTGTACCAACCAGTCTCCATGCTAAGATGGGCATATACAATCATTAATATGTATGTATTTTTCTTCGATCGAGTTAACCTTCTGGTATTTAGTTTGTCATCTAGTCTATTTTTATATAGTCTTTTGACACTGTAATGTTCCAAGCTGTTTAGATTATATCTTCTTTCTTTTGTCATTTCGTTTTTTTTTTGTCTGCATTATTCGGTTCTACTAATTTTCTTGGTGTGTAAGTTATACCAGTCTTTTAAAGTAATAGCCACTTCTGCTAATTGGTCTAACATCTCGTACTATCAGCAGACCAATTGACTTACGAGTAAATTAAGATGTTAAATATTTATTATGTTTTAGTTGCACTGCTGTGGAGTACATGGGCCACGTGACTGGGACAAATATAACAACGCAGACTATAACCTTACAGTCATAGAGAATTTACAAGACTCAACAGATTCGACCTCGCCAGTACCAAACGGCCAAGGAGCTTACCATGTACCAGACAGCTGCTGCAAAAATAACAAATGCCAAAATATTTCCTCTCTTTATAAAAGAGGCTGCTTACCCAAGATCCACTATATAATCTCACAAAGTGCTCTGTTGCTTGGAGTTGGGGCTATGTGCGTAACATTCATTCAGGTTGGTATAAAATATTTTATTGTATTGCTTTTATTTTGTTATTAAAGTGGGTTTTCACTTAAGCGAAATAGTGAAAAAAAAAAAGAAAATAACCTATCGAACATAATCAAGATCTATATCGATTTTAAAAATATTTATTCAGGTAGTTTATTTAATTGGCAATATTTTGCTTGAGTAAATATAATATCCACTAACTAACAAGAATCAGCGAAAGTTCTGAGTTTGCTTCTACCCAAATGTTATTTTTCGTATTTCCATGAATCAATATTCAGATTTTTTATTTTACCCTAGTCAAATAAAATTTTAATACACGTAAACCATTTTGTATTCAAATGTTTTCAAACCTTTTCGACCTTTTGCAAATGAAAGTTTAGATAAATAGGTAAAAACAAATGATTTTTTACAAAAGTAACGATATAGTTTAACGGGATCAATATTTGACTGTTGTTAAATCATCACAATTACCAAAAAATTAGTTTTTTATATCCCTTAAAAAAGTTATCCCTATAGAATAACGGTCTGCAACTGGCGGACCGCAGCCCAACTCCGGACTGCGGAAGGTCACAAACTAGACGAAATTATTTTAAAATTTTAATAAGATAAATCACAGTTTGTCTAATATGCAATAAAACTGTCGCTCTTGTTAAAAGTGCTAATTTAACTGAAACGTTCCATTAACAATTTCATCAAAAGTTTCCTCTAGGAAGTAAAGCAGACCAAAAAAATTTCAAGACATTCAGCTTCTTAGAAAAAAATTACATCCATACTACTTGGAAGAATGAGCAAGTAAGAAAAATCTGCAGACACAGCTTTGCGTGTATGGACGCTCAGTAAACACAAGAAGCCATAATCAGACTCCGAGATAGTTGAAGAATGTTTGCTAGGAGTGGCCGCAGAACTTTTTGAGGATGAAAATAAAAAGGATGTTGTTGCCGCAATTCAAGGTATTGTATTGTCAGCAAAAGCAATACAAGAAGAACCGAAATATTGGCTGCAGACAATATAAGGGATTTGCTTGAACTTCTGCAAAAGGCGCCTTGCTACTTTATAGCACTTAATACATTAAGTTATATTGTTGACGACAAACAAATGTCTACTTTCGTAAGATTTTATGATCTTGAAAATAAAAATAAATATTTAGGGAAGAATTGCTTGCAGTCTTGTCGTTTAAAGGCTAGGCTCATGAAAAAGATTTATTGCAGACTTTTGATGAGTTGATGACAAAATCAAATATTAGTTATGATAAAATGGGGTCTTTGTCAACTGATGGGGTCCCAACTATGGCAAAAGTAAATCAAAGAAAAGAATTTTGGGCTACTATCTTATCAATCTATAATTCACCATGTAGCTCTATGTGTGAAACCTAGTGACAATGTGAAAGTGGTTAGGAACAACGTAATTAAGTTAATTAATTTTATGAGGCCTTAAAAAGGAATTCAAATAAAGATTTGAAGACTTAGATTTGAAGGAATTCGCAGAGGTAGAAAAGTTATCAGCATTCTTAAAAAAACATTTTGCAATTTCTCTAGCAAGTGTGATATTGCTGCGAATTTGTTGCCCATTTTAAAGCCCTTACTTCAAATGGACTTTCCAATCTTTGAGAAAGTCCAAACGGTAGAACAAGAAACGAAATCGACTACATCATAAGTGACAAAAATCAAATAATTAAAGATATAACAGTACTCAACAGGTTCATCACAAGCAGTGACCGCAGAATGATACAAGCGAAAGTCCAAATCAACACAAAAAAGAAAAGAAACATAATGATTAAAAATAAATCTCATGGTATCTGGACACCCCCATGAGATATTAACTAATATTGGGCACATATCAATAATAAGCTACTACTGCCTGACACCTCCTAGAGCGATCTTAATGACTTGAATAATTGCGTCATAAGTGCCTTACAAGAAAGTCACCGAATGCACCCTAAAAGGAAATCAGATAGTAAAATAAGTCCATATACTGAAACGCTGCAAAATGAAAGAAGACGAATGAGAAGCGATGAGAATGCAGACAGCCACACTCTAAGAGAAATGAATAAAACTGTGTCGAAGGCAATCAGGAGAGATTTAAAGAAATTTAAAACCGATTATATTAAACGTAGTATACAGGAAAATAACAGCTTAAAAGTTCTACGTAGAAAGCTAACGAATGGGAAATGTAAAATCCGTAAATTATGAAATAAGCAAAATAAAATAATATCACTTAGAGACGAGTTAATAAACGTTGTCGAAGAGTTATACGAGGAATTATATAGAAGTAGACAAGAACATTAAACAGGAATACAAACAGCCATTTCAAAGAAGATCATGAATCAAGGTTACGAACTAATGTCAGAAATAAAGGTAGATGAGATTCGACAAGCGTTAAGAAAAATGAAAAATAACAAACCCCAGGAGAGGATGGAATTGTAATAGCAGCTATCGTAAATGGAGAAGATATGCTATTAAATCAATTAAGGAAACTGTTCAATCTATGTTTTCAGCAAAGAGATGGGCCCAAAGAATGGAACAATGCTATAACCATCATTTTACACAAAAAAGGAGATAGAACCGACCTAGAGAATTATAGACCTATTAGCCTGTTGAACCACATATACAAGTTCTTCACTAGGTTAGTGACATCAAGAATGGAGAAAAAATTTGATTTCTACCAACCGAGAGAGCAGGTAGGATTCCGATCAAATTATGGTACCAATGATCACCTCCATACAGTATAGACCCTCATTGAAAAATCTATAGAATACAACAAACCTCTTATCCTTTCTTTCATAGATTTTCATAAAGCATTCGACACGATCGAAATAGACAGCCTTATAGAAGCAATGAATGACAGCAGGATTGACCATAGGTATAGTGAACTTTTTACAATATTTACAAAAATGCCACTATGACTGTTAAGATACACGATAAAACCCGACTAATAAAAATAAAACGTGGGTTAAGGCAAGGAGATACATTGTCACCGAAATTATTTATAACGGCATTATAGTATACCTTTAAGATGGTCAATTGGGACCACAGAGGAATATCAATAGACGGCGAAAAACTTAACCATCTCCGTTTCGCAGATAACATTGTCCTTAATTACTATTAAACTGGGAATAAGCCACAATTAAAGATAAAAATACGTTTATTGACGTTTCAATTTCCACTTCGGAAATCGTTCTCAAAATACAAACAGTAAATTAAACAAATTTTGTTTTTTGTTAAATAGTGAAAAATTCTAATAATTTAATTTTATCTGACTCATTTATATTGACAATTCAGACATACATTATGCATTTTAAAGTAGACGACTTTAAAATGATATTGCCAATATTGTTGAGTTGCGCTCCTGGGACGACTTTACTTATAAGATAGTTCATTCGATTACATGAAATCAACTTTAACTTGAGAATATCCGTCAGAAAAAAATCATAGCATGTAATTCGTCTTTAAAAAGACAAACACATGACATGATGACAGTAAAATTCTCCTGTTAGTGATTCCATAGTAAATTATGAGGGAAAACCAGGAAAAAACCTCATAATACTATCCCGACATTGTAAGTATTTGTTCTTGAATTTAGTTTACCTTCAACAAACATCAAAATTCTGATTTTATATGTTACGTTATTTAAAAAACATAAATGATGTATTCTCTATATGTTACTGACTTACTAATACTGGTATGTTCTTATTAATTACTTCCTCTTTCAATATTGGTAACCAGATCCTACTACATTCTGCCGAAGAATTTGCAATGGGCTCTAGTTTATCTCCATTCTTAGCCGATATATTTATGGGAGATTTTGAAACAAATATCATTTCTAAACAAAATTTCAAACCCACAGTATGGTGGAGGTATGTAGATGATGTATTCTCAATATGGCCCCATGGATCAGAGTTGTTGGACACATTCCTAAATAATATAAACGATAAAGAAGAGACAATAACATTTACCATGGAAAAGGAATATAAGAACACGCTACCTTTAATTGATGTTTTAATCTCTAAGAACGATACTGGATATGAGACTCAGGTGTATAGAAAACCAACACACACCAACAGATATTTAAATTTCAAATCAAATCACAATATTAATGTAAAAAAGGGAATAATTAAATCCTTATACGATAGAGCCCAAATTACTTGTTCTAATGAAAATTCGTTCTTGGAGGAGAAACATGTGTTAACATCTGTTTTATTAAAAAATGATTATCCTTTATCGTTTATAAATAAGGAATTTTCAGCAATCGATCGAATAGAACAGAACAACTTAGAACGAGATCCTACAGCATACATAAGGAATAATATGAGGAAAATAACAATACCGTACATAAAACGACTATCAGAAAAACTTAAAAGGATAGGAAATAAATTCAACATTTCAACAACATTCAAAAACGACAAACACGTTGAGATCTATTTTGTCCAAAACCAAACCTAACAATGAACAAGAAAGGACAAAGAATTGCATTTATAAAATACCTTGTGAATGCGATCAGTTTTATTTAGGTGAATCATCAAGGCCATTAAATGTTAGAATAAGTGGACATCAATCTTATATTAAAAATAAAGAATTTGATAGATCTCAAATCTGTAAACACGCATGGGATAATGAACATAGGGTTCAATGGAATAATTCAAATGTAGTTCCGAAAAGAAACGGATGGTAAAAAAAGAAAAATCAAAGAAGCGGCTCTAATTATGCTAAATGAGGCCAATTGTGTCGCAAATTCTTCGGCAGAATGTAGTAGGATCTGGTTACCAATATTGAAAGAGGAAATAATTAATAAGAAAATACCATTATTAGTAAGTCAGTAACATATAGAGGATACATCATTTATGTTTTTTAAATAACGTAACATATAAAATCAGAATTTTGATGTTTGTTGAAGGTAAATTAAATTCACGAACAAATACTTACAATGTCGGGATAGTATTATGAGGTTTTTTCCTGGTTTTCCCTCATAATTTACTATGGAATCACTAACAGGAGAATTTTACTGTCATC